TGCACCATAGCAGTATAAGGAACCCGAATTGTAACTTAGGGAAAACTGCAACTATCAGGTATCAAATACATGATTTGTTACAGCTTAGCAGTATTAGGTATCAGAATTTTAGCTCACAGCAAAATACAATTATCAGGTACCAGGAATGTGATTTGGTATAGCCTAGTAGTACCAAATATTATATTAAATATTCAAGGCAACTTAGCATACGCATATTATCAATCCAGCCAATTTAGCAATATTAGTGGTTGGTATATGAGATTGGAAGCAATATAGGAATATCAGGAAGTGGTAAAAGTTGTGATAACCTATTATAGACTAAACCTTTGTGTAGCTTAGAATCAAATATATTCACATAGATTATTCAGGTCATTTCACAAAAGTATAGTACATGCTTCGTACTTAGTTAAAAGATCCCAATCGAACCGATGTTCCTTACTTAGACAGCTACTAAGCATGGTCTTAGGGAAGTTCTGACATAAGGATATGTCTACCTTCGTACATGGTTATTTAGTTCTAAAGTAATTGAACCCGCCTGTGTGGCCTTTGATGAAAATGAGATAATTATTTAAATCTCTGGATACAAGTGTGGTGATTTTGAAGTGAGTTTTACAGCTTGTATTGTAATAACAGAGATATAGAAGAATAATTCTTCTTTTCAGTTGAGTTTTAAAGTAATTGAACAAGCCTGTGTGGACTTTTAACGCAAAAGAGAATTATGTAGTGTTCTAGATTCAACTGTGGTAACCAATAGTGTAACGAAGTTTTGTACATACGTTTGACTTGTTTTGAACATATATTATTTTCAAGCAAGTGGATTATGTGCTGTCCATTTCTTGTTGAAATTTATCAGGAAAAAGTCATAGACACCTACTGTAAAGAATCTGGCCTCTATAAAAACCTGACACCTATCAATACCAGATATTGGTATTATGATGGAGACCTATCAATGTTAGATATTGGTATTACGACGGAGACTTATCAGTACCAAGTATTGGTATTTGATGAAGACCTATTAATACCAGATATTGATAGTACGGGCGGCTGTTTATGCTAGTAATTACTAATCATAGTATTTATACCTCATTGAAGACAATTTAGAAAAGTGAACATTTTCCAAAAGATGATTTTTTTTTCTTGGAAGTACTGCACTGGAAAAGCATTCGGATTGTGCTCTTTAGTCAAATGCAACTCATGCATCAAAATCATTCAATGTACAGAGCTCAACATTTTTATAACTTTTCCTGGTATAAACTGTATTATTTTATGTATTAAAAGTGCTCCCGTTTACTGAAAAACAATAGTTTCCTTAAGAACTTCGGTTTCTCAGTACTGCTTTTTTAAAAATTACACCAATAAAGACATAATCAAATCCTCACATAATCAAATAAACATTTTCTCAGAAAAAAAAGAAAAGTGTTCGGAATGTGCTGATATAAACTGTAATGTTTTAATATATTAAAAGTAGTACCCTTCATTGAAAAAATAACATTTTTTAATAACTCTCTTTTTTAGTACTATATTTACAAATTACACCAATAAAGACATAATCAAATCCTCACGCACAGTCCTAGTGAAATTCGTGTTATTATTGTGAGAGAGTACTTTTATTTAAAATTGTGTTCTATTATAAAGAAACGGTTGTTGCACATACCACAGTTATTTTGCTAATAATCTGAGTCTTGAATACCCAAATTGTATAATTTTTTCATTGATTTTTGTTTGTGGTGCCTTTCAATAGATGGCACAGGAGTTTTGGTTCCATAAATAGACACTGACATGCACAATACGTCCATTATAGTAAGATGATATAGATATATCATTATCAGATAATTAGTAGTATGATGAAGACCAATCAGTACCAGATATTGGTATTATACCAAATATTAGTAGTGTGATTCAAGTACACTTAGAAGTATCCGATTTTTGTAATGAAACTGAAGTTATGAAATATGTATAAGGCAATTCAAGGCATCCTCGAGGTACCAAATGTTCGTATCTTAATTCTTAAAGTAATTTTACAATTCATATCAGAGGTTGAAGATCTTTTTTGTAATTTGTAATACAAATCATATCATAAAAGACATTTCAAGTTAGATGCACAATTATTTAAGGACCTAGAGGTGTGTATAGTGTGTATACAAATTATCTTTGTTTCTTAAGATACCACCGTTCATCTTACTTGAAATTTGTCAACAAAAACAAAATATTTATATCAGCACTAAACACAAGACTTATTTTCGAAATATTTTTATGTTGTTTAAAGTGTTTTAAATTTATTTCAAAGAGATCCAATAATGAATAAGAGTTTAGTTCTTAAGAGCTGGGTTATTCTTACAGTGGGTGTGGAAAGACAACGCTGCTGAATGTGGTGGCTGGCAAAAGTTGTGGAAAAATGGTAGTTCAGGGTTCGGTTTTGATTAATGGCATGAAACAGTCAATGTATGCCCGCTCTACTCTGGCTTACGTTGAACAGACGTACCTCTTCGTCGACACTCTTACTGTGCAGGAACATCTTCGCTTTCAGGTAAGATGCAACGACGTAATCCTTATACAAAGAATGCAATGTAAGAGCAAGCTTTGTTTGTGGTTCAAGTCATCGTTCTCTGGATTTTATGTGCAAGTGTAGATGTACAAACGTTTACGCTTAGTTCATTGGGTTTCTATAATAAATTAAGGACAATAAATCAAAATGATGTCACTGTGAAATATACATCGTATACTTTAGTTGTCTTGAGTTTGTGTTAATGTTCCTTTCACGTGTTAACCAGATGAAGCGAAGTACTTTGTTTATGATTTCTCCTGTAAAAATATTTTTGAGCTATTTGGAAATATTTTAAAGCAAAGCATATGAATAACATTTATAAAACTTAAGTTAGAGGAAATTTTAACTTATTTTAGAATCACATTTGAAACGTTTCAGAAGCAAAGGGAGTTGAGAAAATAGTGATCATTAAGTTATCATAATCCGAAAGAACACATTAAAAACAGTTTTCAGTGACTGAAGGTTTTAGAATTTTTTTAAAATAAATAATAACAATAATATTTATTTTTTATAAAGGAAAATTATATTTTTAGGTGGCTTTAAAACTTCACTATGACCTTTGTGAGAAGGAGCAAGAAATGAAGGTCCATGAGCTATTGACGAAGGTAAGAGGTTCCTTTTTTATTACATTAAAAGTAAAAGTGTCAGAATTGAATACTTGTCTAAAGAGAATAACGAATGAAAAAAGAGAGAAATCTTCCATCTTGACGGTTCCTTAACATCCATTCTTTTATTAAGAATTGCTTTCAATTTCAATATTAAAATCCATAGACTAAACAGTGTTATGACAGTTGCTTTATTTAAGTATCTTTTCTGTTCATACAAGTTTTGTTGAGAATGTACAATGTTATATTAAGAAAAAAGTAGAGATTTCTTACTGGGGTTGTAAGTTAGAAGAAAATATGGGTGGCATGGCCAGGTGGTTAGGGCACTCGACTCGCACTCTTCGAATCCCCATCACACCAAACATGCTCACCCTTTCAGCCGCGGAGGCGTTCTAATGTGACGGTCAATCCCACTATTCGTTGGTAAGAGAGTAGCCCAAGAGTTAGCGGTGGGGGCAATGACTAGCTGCCTTCCCTCTAATCTCACAATGCTAAATTAGGGACGGCTAGCGCAGATAGCCCTCGTGTAGCTTTGAGCGAAATTCATAACAAACAAACAAAGAAAATATTGCATACGATAATACACATTTTCGCATTATAGACTTTATAACAAAAATAAGGAGAACATTTCACAACGTTAAAGATGTTGTACACGATTAAATTTATTAATAGATTAAAGACTATTGTGATGTTTCTTGTGGTGTGGGTCCGAGCCTGCGTTCTACCTTTTGGATGACACCAACGTCAAAACACCTACATAGAAATGAGAGTGAGGGACAGAGAAAGAGGACATCTAATTGGACAGAAAGAGCGCCATACCAAATCAATAGTAATGCTATCATACACTACGTTCCTACATAATTAATTATATTCTAAGTAATGGACGCTGTGTTTTATTAAAATTTATACTTTTACCGGATCACTACTTATGTACTACATACACCTTAATTAAACATTCCTTAAATTAGAAACATGTGCCAAATAAAAGAAGTAAAAAAAGTAATAAACAATATAAGATTTACGCGATAATTCAAAACATATGATAAATATTCACTCATAAATCTTATAATTAGTTTCTCGCTTCTTGAATCGGCCACTTAGCTACACAATTTTATTGATAAATTTATTAATCAGTTGCTAAAAGTTGATTCTTCGTTAGCTGAATTACATGACGTATTACTCCAGTCATACAACGTCATAATGACCCACTGAGGCTGAAAGAAATAAACTTGTAAAGAAGTTGAACTAGAATACATTATCCATCGTCTCTTTCCGCTTTCATCTTTAATGTCGCATAAATTTCATTTTCTTTTCCACTAAAATGGATAAATAAATACAAATGCAGTAAAGCTTTATTTAAGCTCAGTAAGTTCGTTAGTTATTACGCCTTAGCTTTTTCTAGCACCCTTGCAACCTGCAGTCGCTCACTTTAACACGTGAACCAATTATGTTCAGTTTTCAAACTTCTTTTTATAACTTTAACCTCCACGCTCTAGGAAGCTTGCGATAAGGCGTATTAGTCATTATTTTATTGAATTAGAACCGCTTTAAAGTTCTTCTAAATTCTTCTAGACCAAGGTCTAGCTAAACTTTATATGAGCAATTTTTGGGCACAAACAGAAGAAACTGATATTTATAAAGAAAGTAAATATATATAGGAAGGTGCATATCTGTGAGCGATAACAACTCTCAAACTTTTGTATCTCTAGAAATAAAACTGGACATATAACGCCACAGAAAGTACGTCTTCACTCTACTAACAATTGCTAATAATATAAATTACTATCCTAACTGTACTGACTCGGCCATTTTGAAAAGGGAGACGATAAAATACCGAATATGAAAACTGAAAAAAAATATTCGTGTGTTGTGAAAAGGACAGCTAGCATGTAGATGAAAGATATGCATTAAAATAAGTCATTCTCATCAGTTTAGTTGGGTTTTAAAGTATTTTAATTGTAATTTACTCATCTACCCTTAAGCTTTGCTGCAGATTTCAAACTTAACGTCGTACTTGTAACATTACTATTTATATCCTATATTATCCCATTCTCTCTTGTACGATTTTAAATATCATAGTTAACAACATTACTTGTTTCCCCAAAATGACCTGTCTGTAAGTAGCACGACACCATTTTAAGTACTCATATTATTTTCTCCTCTTTGTAACGTTGGGTAAACTAGTTCTACTAAAAAGAAAACTATTAACGTATTAAAGAAAATGCTAACATTAAGATCCCCAGAAACTCAAGTGTACTTGAAACTGCCTTAATAGAATGTGACGTAGTTGTTCACCCAAACTGGTTTAAGATCTTAGTAAGGGCCAATGGTAAACAGAGCCTCCGAACAGAAAAGAGCTAAGTAAATCTTAAGCTGAGGCCTGAGATAAACGTTGTTGGGACAAGTAGTAAATCACTTCTATTGCTATAAAAATGTTTTCGTATGTTGAAAACTAGAAAAACTTCAGTTTCTATAATGTTTAACAGTTTCAACAAGCTCTACAAATGTACACGATCAATTTGACATTTCTAGCAAAGTTTCTTAAAGGAAAATATGGTACCATTCAGAATTTTGTAACCTCTACAATAATAATTGATTCTCTTGGACTGTTCTCTGGGCTCGTTATCTTGCCTCAAAAAAAAAAAAGCAGCTAAGTAGTTGGTACTGATGGTGTCTCTGTGCTATGTACTTTATCCTCTCTTCAGCAAAGCAGCCTGATGAGGCATAAAGAATTGATAATGTTGGCTTATCTCCGCTTTGTAAAGCAGCCTGATGTTCACAGGGAGTTGATACTGGTGGCGTCTGTGTTCTATGTTCATTATCCTCCGTCTAACAAAACAGCCTGGTGTTTCATAGAGATTTGATACTGGCGGCGTCTATGTTCCGTGCTCAATATCCTCGGTGTAACAAAGCAGCCTGTTGTTTCATAGAGTGTTGATACTGGCGGCGTCTGTGTTAAATATCCTCGGTCTAACAAAACAGCCTGGTGTTTCATAGGGAGTTGATACTGGAGACGTCTGTGTTCTATGTTCATTATCATCCGTCTAACAAAACAGCCTGGTGTTTCATAGAGTGTTGATACTGGCGGCGTCTGTGTTCAATATCCTCGGTCTAACAAAACAGCCTGGTGTTTCATAGGGAGTTGATACTGGCGGCGTCTGTGTTCAATATCCTCGGTCTAACAAAACAGCCTGGTGTTTCATAGGGAGTTGATACTGGAGACGTCTGTGTTCTGTGTTCATTATCATCCGTCTAACAAAACAGACTGGTGTTTCTTAGGTGGCCTCTCTGATCTGTGTTCGTTATCTTCCGTTCAGCAAAGTAGCCTGATGATTCATAAGACCCCTGGTTTACTGTGGCAGTTGGTTGTATTTTTATGTGATATTGTCTTTGGGGTGCTTACTCTGGCTACACATGGTACTAATAGCTTGGGTGTCTTTCTCCGGCTCTCACTTAGTTGGATGGCATACTGCCGACTTAAATTGGTGATCTCTCGGCATAGCTGTAGATGGCCCTACATTTCATCTTGCACTTTATCAATTTTTGTGCGTGATGCAAACAGACGAACAAACATTCACTGTTGCAGTTGTTCTGAATTTGTGTGTTTTTTGGGAGAAGTTTGGACTTATTTGGTTATTTTTAAATTTTTCTCTGTTTAAAGTATTACTATTTATTATGATGTAATATCACATATTTACTCTTAAACTTTCTACACACTAACACTGTTATTTGTTTATTTTTTATTTTATTCTGAAGATCTAAATGCTCAGTTTCGATGTTTATGGGCCAGTAATACACATTATAAGTTTATATTGTTATGGGTCATGCCTCTCCATGATGCGACTTGTGTTTATTTACGTGATTCGTGTTTTGTGTCGTTTGTTTCCGAATATTCTTTTCAGTTTAACTTACATTGGCGATTTTTTCAAACTTAATGAAGGCTTACAGTCCTGAAAGATTAAACCTCTTTCAGTTCGATTTGCAGTGGCAGTAAAATGTGTTTTCTAAGAACTTTAGGAATTATCCTAAATTATTTTTCACATTCTATTGGTAAGATTGGAAAGATTAAAATTTTGACTTTGCTGCATTTTGTATGTAATGTTTTAAAGTAATTTCTGGAAATCTTCAAAATGCAGAAACAAAATAGCGTTTCCAACTTCTAAACATTCTGACTTTTTATATTTATTTAGTAGCATAACAGATACACCAAGAGTAGTTCTATAATGTTCCTCACTACCTTATTGTAATTTTCTATTAACTCTTCTTAGTTTGATACTATCTAAGGTGTATGCATAAAAGAAATTATTGCATTTCGTTTCCATGTTTTTACTTATAAAATTTCCTCTATTGCAAGTTCTAATAGTAAATTATTTGCCGAAACCATAGCTGGTTACTTTTTATGTTATTTATTTGGCAAGTTTCTTTACTTGCAGTACTACACAATTTTCTGTTTTTTTCCTCAAACTCATTGTAGATCAGAAGGTCCAAGGTTCGAGCTGTAGTTTACTACTGAACATGCTTTGCATTTTCAGCTATGAGGCAATAACTCTGATAGTTAGTATTTTTACTTGGATAAGAGTTGCCATCTAGGTAGTGTGTGCTGTTGACTGGTTGTTCTCCCTCTTATCAGCAGCTCTAAAGCAGAAATGGCTATGCGTGAATATTAGGATGTGTGGCTTGGCTATTTTGGTCATATGTCATAAGATGCTATTCAGATGAAAAATATTAATATGAATCTTGTTATTACAAGGTAAAATTTTCCTTTTTCCCACTCATAATGTACAGGCCTCTTGTTGTCAACCAAAACGTCTCTAGGTACCTTCATAGGTTACCATATATTCTTCATAACAAGTTGTGAAAGGAAGTCAGGGACTTGAATTTAGCGATGGAAAATGAAAACTGATAAATAAGTATATATAAGTGAAGTTACTAGGTTGCTATATCTTGGTGGAAGACTAAACAACATCACAGAACTAGGAACAGTTTACTACTCCAAGTCC